AAGCCTTAGAAAGGCCATATCTAGAATACTGCATCCAGTTTTAATCACTGCATTATAAAAATATGTTGAGACTCTAGAAAAAGTGCAGAGAAGAGCAACAAAGAAGATTAGGGGCCCAGAGGGTAAAACATATGAAGAACGGTTGCAAGAACTGAGCATGGCTAGTCTAGTGAAGAGAAGGACCAGGGGAGACATGATAACAGTGTTCAAATATTTGAGGGATTGTTACAGAGAGGAGTGGGGCACCTATTTTCCAAAACACACAAAGGCCAGACAAGGAACAATGGATAGAAACTGATCAAGGAAACTGATTAAGAAGAGTCTAGACAGTCACTTATCTGAAATAGTATAGGTTCTCCTACTTGAGCAGGGAGCTGTATAGAAGACTTCCAAGGTCCCTTCCAGCTCATTCATTCTAATTCTAATTCTAAAAAAGGAGAGATTCAATCAAGTAATAAGGAGAAACTTTTTGGCAGGGAAAACAATCAACCAATGGAACAGCTTGCCTTCATAAGTTGTGGGTGCTTCATCACTGGAAGCTTTCAAGAAGAGACTAGACAGCCACTTGTCAGAAATCGTATAGAGCAGGGGTCAAACTCGTGTGATCATGGCATCATCACATGGTATATCGTAACTGTTTTCCCCTTCACTAAATCAGGTGTTGGCATCACCAGCGCATAACACATCTGGTCTCCAGGTTGCAAGTTTAACAGCCCTGATATGGAGTCTCCTACTTGAGCAGGGGGTTGGACTAGAGGACCTCCAAGGTCCATTCCAACTCTGTTATTCTGTATTCTGTACTTTTCAAAAGGAAAAGTGTCACTATGCTACTCTGTGATATAAAACTGCAATATCAGTTAGTAGAGTGCTGTCTTTGACCATCAAAGCCCCTGGTCACAAATAAAAGTAAATAAAATGTATCCTTCAAGAATAGCCTATAATATTTATCAAACTCAGTAAAAATATTTCTCGAGAGCATTCAACAGGCCCATTCTCTTCACAATTTTATGCTCCTTTTAGTCTCTTTGTGGTTTTTATGTTGTTTTATGATTTTTATAGTTTTTTACTGCTGTTTTTATTGTTATTGGAAATTGTCTTCTTTTATTTTGTGAGGCACCATATAAAGGGTACAGGGTGAAAATAAATGCTGCTAATTAGGGATCCTTTATCTGGACTGCAAATGTTCAAATGATCACTATATGGTAGTAACAAGAGATAGGAAATTAATTCTTTTGCAACCCAGATATGTTCGTTCTCTCTCTCTCTCTCTCAATCTCTCTCTCTCTCTCTCTCTCTCTCTCAATCTCTCTCTCTCTCTCAATCTCTCTCTCTCTCTCTCTCTCTATTACATAGTCCTTTTTTTTTTAAGAAGACAGTTTTGCTACATTTTTCTTAAAGCTGCATCAGCCCTATGCAGTTTTTGGAAAATAGGTTTGAAATCAGTGAGACTCCATGCAAGTGCATTTAGTTAAAAAACTGACACCTTGACTGGCAAATGAGAGATCTTGTTGTATAAATCCTGACCCTTAAATTCAACTGTTTTCAAAGAGAGAGAAAGGAAAATAGATATAATGGACTGAGGGAAAACCCTTGGGTCTACCTATTTCTTTAAAACCAAAGTTTTTAATACAATCCTTGGGACAAATATAGTTACCTTCACAATGAAATGCTGATCATCTTATGCTATAGTTAGTTGTCTCCCTTGATTGGGATGTAGTGCATGCTGTGACAACTGCATGGATTGGCAGAAATTGGTTTATTATTGCAACAACTCAAGGGAGTCACATGAATTAAGGGAAAACATTTACATTAGAACAAATTACATTTCCCCCCTGCAAATCTAATTGTTACACTGAGAGCTCTTACACTCTTGTAATTGCGGTATCCTAATTACACACATTGCATTTTTTAAAAAAGAATGTCATTGTTGATCTGCAATATCCTCTACTTATTTACAGTTGCATATTTGAACAATGAGCAAGAGTTCTTCCTGCAATGTAGCACAGCGAGATTATTATCTGCTCACAGATACAAAATTAATTCAGCAGAGAGGATGTATTCTCCAACAAACAAGAAAGAAAAAAAATTCTCCAGAGGCAAGACATTCTACAATTGTTTCTTTTAAAAATGTGTCTAATTAATAAAACACTTACCATCTGCAGTGACTGACCTGTCAGACAGTTCCTAAGAGATCATTTTAGGGGCAGTATATGTATGTATATGCATAGGCATATGAACAAGTATATAATAACAACCTGAATTTAGCTTGTAGAAAATAATGTTAGTCTGTCAATAGAAATTACAAGTACTCAAGATGGAATTAATTTATGAAGAATGCTGATTAACTTTTGTTTCCCTGATCAGATGAGTTCAGCCCAGCAGAACACAACTGCTAATATGAGCAGTAAATATCTCATAGAAGGGGAAAATGTAGTTCAAGGTGGAAGTCAGGGGTGGGATTCTACCAGTTCGCACCTATTCGCTAGAACCAGTTGTTAACATTCTAAGCAGTTTGGAGAATTGGTTGTTAGAAGAAATTACTGGCCTAATCCTGTAAGGAAGGCAGGAAGGAAACATTCTGGTATTTCTTACAGAAACTGCCTCTCCGTTAACCCTTATTACATTCTTGGCAGGACTAGACTTCCTGTCTCAGGAACTTCTCTGGAGGTTTTTCTCCCTCCTTTGTTGGTACTTTGCTTGTGTGGAGTGACCATTCAAAGTTACAATGGCACTGAAAAAAGTTACTTATGACCATTTTTCACATTTATGACTGTTGCAGCATCCCCACAGTCATGAGAGGCCAGGTGAGGTGATGCGTGCCTCGATGTGAGTGATATTGAGTTGGCCACGCCCAGCCCATAACATGACCATCAAGCCATGTTCACCCAGTCACATAACCACCAAGCCATGCCCACCAACTAAGCCATACCCACAGAACCGGTTGTTAAAAAAATTGAATCCCACTCCTGGTGGAAGTCCTTGGTACTCTCTGAGCTTGGTTTTTACCCCAAAATATGACCTACTCAGAAAGTAAGTCCTAGCTTGATTTTACATGTGTCCCTAATATAAGCCCTACCCTCAAAATAAGTCCCAATTAAGATCCTGTCCACTCCAGGGTGCATAGGTAAAATTTAAGCTAGCGTGGGGATGGGGGGGGGGGGTGGAGCTGCCCTACTACTTACCTTCAGATAAAACAATTTTATAGCATTCTATTTATTCAAGACTATTGTAGTTTTTCATCAGTTAAAGTGTATTTATAAATAAATGCACAAATAATTTAAGAATTTTGCCTTTAGAGGATAGGTGAGAGATCTAAAGATTTTTCTCAGATACATTATCCTCCAACAGTATAGACTAACCACATAGTTAATTATAAACTACAATTAAATTATTCATGAAAAAACTGAGTCAATACAAAGAAATTAGGTTACCAGCTCTGGAGCTAGGTGTCTCCCATGGACTGTAGTGGAGAAAAAAATGCCTTTATTTTTTATTTATTTTTTATTTCTTTATATTTATTTATTTATCACCAAATTGAATAAACTTTGACAAAGAGAAGAAAGACTGCTTAATTATAGAAACAAAATGCTTGGGTTTGGTTATTTATCTTTTAATCTAGGGTTGCTTGCTTCCTTGTCTGTTAATGGAAGATGACAGTAAAAGCAATAGCAATAGCACTTAGACTTATATACTGCTTTACAATGCTTTACAGCCCTCTCTAAGCAGTTTACAGAGTCAGCATATTACCCCCAACAATCTGGGTCTTCATTTTACCCACCTCGGAAGGATGGAAGGCTGAATCAACCTTGAGCCTGGTAACATTTGAACTGCTAAATTGCAGGCAGACAGTAGTCAGCAGAAATAGCCTGCAGTACTGCATTCTAACCACTGTGCCATCCAGGCTCAATAATTTTTGCTTTACAATCAAAAGATTCATTTTTTTCTTTACAACCTGTGTTATATGAAAATATAATAATAAAATCCTGAAACATATAAGAACAGAACATAAATAAAAGTCCACAATTATTAGGTAAGAACAGGTTCACGAGTTCAATATATTAAAGTACTGAGAAATCTGGAAGAAGATAATCAGTTCACTAACACTAATTTGCATCACATTAAAAGGTATTTAAAGACCAGTGCTCTGGCAGACAAGCACAATTCAAAGTGCACTGAAGATGTCTCCTCAAATGGTGACAAAATGTTTGCAACCAAATTGCCAAGCTTGGAGCTCAGACCAACAGACCAATAATCAGATCAGTTTATGGTTCAACATACTGCAGAATGAAAATTTGCAGCATAGTTATATATTGACTTTAGATTACCAGAGAGGGGAGTTTATCAACAAAGACTAGGTGAAAAAGAATATGTATGTCATTTATTAAAAAAAATAAAGTACAGAAAGTACAATCAAACATCATTCCAATAAGAGAAAAAGAAAACTTTATGGAACATAGTAAATGCTCTACGAATGGCTAAGATGACCCAAGGGTTAAAAGAAAGATGTATATGTAATGGGAGCTAGATGTAAATGAGAAAGGAGATATCCCATTAAGTAGTTAACAACTCCACAAAACAAATTGGGAAGGCTGAAATACAAAAGAAACTCAGGCTACAAAGCAATAAAACAGTAAAAATGGGGATTAGAAGGTTATATATGAGGAATAGCAATAACAATAGCACTTAGACTTATATACCACTTTATAGTGCTTTACAGCCCCCTCTAAGCAGCTTACAGAATCAGAATATTGTCCCCACAATCTGGGTCCTCATTTTACCCACCTTGGAAAGACAGAAAGCCGAGTCAACCTTGAGCTTGGTGAGTTTTGATCTACCAAATTGCAATAAAATACTAAAAAGGAAAGAGGCGGGTTCATGATAGAATATATATTATTGAATAATAATAGGTTACATGGAGGGCATTGGCTCAGCAGTTAAATATGCTGAACTTGTCAGCTACAAAGCTGACTGCCCAGATTTGAGACTTGAGCACCATACAGTGGGGTGATAATGTAGCAGGATGGTGGGAAAGTGGAAGACACTGTATGCCTGGATTTCAACAAAACATTTAATAAGGACTCCTCAGCCTTCTCATTATGATAACTCACGCCTGTCCATTTGCTCCTCAAATTAGAATTTTGGATTGCTTTGTTCCATGATATTCTCAGAAATCTTCAACATCAAAGTTCAAAAGCATCAATACTCTTTCTATCCTGCTTTTTCAAAATCCAACTTTCCCTTACATAAATACAGTACAATATTAATGCAATATCAGGGGTTTTCAATTCAATGTATAGAATGTGAAGGATGTGTGTTTGCATTTATTTTTAGTCATAATGTACACTGAAGATGGTATTTAATTTCATTATATGAGGTGCAATGACAATAAACTAAATTAAATTAAACTAAATAAAGTATCAAATGGAAAAACATTTCCAGCAGGATTCCGATCTTTATAGATATAGACATATCCCAACATCTGAATATCTATTCCAAAGCCTTCACTCCTATTCGACTACGTGCCCATCTGTGCCATATTTTTTTTTAACTCTGGTTCCTTTACTGCTGACAAGTTGCTCCTAAAAGGCAGAAACAATTCATCATTTCAGTATCATTATTGTCAGTTCTAAAGCTGGTTGCTGTACCTGTAATCATTAGTTTGGCCTTTTTTATATTTAATCACAGTCACATTCTTTCACTGTGCTTCTTGACTTTCATTACCAGAGCTTGCAGAACATTTGCATTTTCAGCTATCAGAGTAGCATAATCAGCATAGCAAAGGTTATTGATGTTTCTTCATCCAATTTTATAACCACATTTATCTTCTTCCAGCTTTCCTTGATATATATTCAGCATAAGGGTTGAATAAACAAGAGGAGAATAGGCACATTTTCAGATTCCTTTGCTAACCTGGAGCCAGTTTGTTTCATCATTTTCTGTCCAGATTATCTTTATGTTTATATGGGTTTAGGTTTTGCATGAGGACAATTCAAAGCATATTTCACAGCTTAATACAGCTGACATAACCCAAGTCATTTCTATATTCAATGAAGCACAGAGTGATCTCACCTAAAATTATATTGATAAGATCAAGTGAGTTCAAAGTTGGGTAACAAAAATGAAAGAAAGTCTGAAGGACAAAGCATACCTAGAGAGATTGGAGGAACTGAATATGTACAGCCTGGATGACAGAAGGGAAATGCGAGGAGGCAGAGGGGGATTCCACCGGTTCGGGCAAACTGGATGTTAAATGTGCATCTGGTTCACTGTACCAGTATTTGAACCAACTGGCTGGTCCTGTCCACCCAGCCCTGCCCCTCCCAGGAGTCTCCACACAGTCCATTTTCAACACAGTTAAGTGCAGGGTCCACACAGAGGCTCTGGGAGGGGGAAAATGGGCCTTCTGGAAATCCAAAAATGGACCTGTTTCCGGCTTCCGGAGGGCCTCCACAGGCCAGGGGAAGCCATTTTCACCCTCCCAAAGGTTCAGGGGAAGCCTCTGGACCCTTGGGAAGGGGAAAAACATCCCTCCCAGAAGTTCAAGTAGGCCACGCCCACCATGGCCATGTTCACCCAACAACTGCTTGCTGGGATTTTTGAATCCCATTCCTGGGGGACGACATGATCAAAACCTTTAAATATATTAAGGGTGTGAATAAGGTTCTGGAACACAGTATTTTCAATATTAAGCGAAAATGAAGAACATGGGTAGGTAGCCTCAAACTGTTAAAGTGAGAAGTTCAAAAGAGATGTTAGAAAGAATAGTACAAGTTTGGAACCAAGTTCCAGCAGAGATAGTGGGTCAATCATCAGTAAATGAGTTCAAATATGCTTAGGATAGACACATGCCCATCATCCAGCAATCAATCAATAAATTAATTAAATATTAATAATGAATATTAATTAAACAATTAGTTAAAAAGAAGACAAGAACAAACAAAAGACTCAAAGGGCAGACTTAATGAATCACTGGGTCTTTTTTGGCTATCAGTGTTTGATATTTTCTGTCTCTTCTTTTTGGTATTGTTTGGTATTTTTTCATTTATCCAGTGTGCATCAACAAAAATGCATCTCATTCTTCAGGCTTTTCAAAAATGGGCTTAAAATCTGGCATCTCTTTTTCCACATAGGGTTTTACATATGTTGGATGATTCTAAACATTGCCTTGCTAGCAAGTGAAATTCAGCCTACTGAATGAGAGTTTGCATACTCCATTAAATATACTTTGGTATTGGCATGTAATCTTGAAATCTGTTGGCTATTTTATCTTTTTTCAGATTTGTTGGTGTAAATTGATTAGAACCTTTACTGATTTTTCTGTGGCCACATTTCTGTCGATCAATTCTTGAAATCTTCTTACTATCATTGTGACACTTGGTTGTTTTTTTTTTTTGCTAAGGTTTTCTCAAATAATTTTATCTGGCTTTGACTATTATTTTCCTCTTTTCTTGGCAATTAGAAAAACTTGTTCTAATATGTGGTTTGCTGTTTCTTGATGTTTAGCTCTCTTTTCACATTGATCCTTAAATAAACTGTTAAGCTAATTCCAAATTTCTCTACCAATGAAGTTCAAAATTTCATAGCAATTCCTGATTAACTCTTGTAAATTGTGGGTACAGAGATCAAGTTTCTATATTGTAGAAACTTCTGCTTTAGTTTGACTTGGAATTTGCACATAAATAGATCATAATCTGTTCCAGAGCCAGTCTCTGACCATTTATTTGCTATTATTCCTAAAAAGTTCCGCATTCTTGTGCCAATAATAAAGTCAATTTTATTTCTATGCTATACTTCATATTTTCTTTGTTTGAATACTGTGTTAACATAAAAGAGATCATTAGATTGGCAAACATTGATAAGTCATTCTTCTGATTTATGTTTATTTCCTAGGCTCTATATTTTTGTCTTATTTCCAACTTTTGCATTCCAGAAGCTGCATTCTGCTTGCACATTCTGTCAATTTCAGACTGAACTTGACTATAATAGTCATCAACCTCTTCTTCTCCTCCATCAGTGTTTGGATTATGACCTGTAAAAGGATTTCCTGCAAAGTCAGACAGATATTGTTTAATCATTGATTGCATTATTCTCAAGTAGTGTCCTTGCTATAACCTTCCTGAGTATGAAAGAAGCACCATTTTTCTTATTTTTCATGCCCGAGTAATAAATAGTATGATGTGACTGAAAATATCCAATGGCAAGCTATTTCAATTCATTGATGTCAAAGTGTTAATGTGTGGCTGATAGATTTCATTTTTTATTGTGTTGAGATTTCCACATTCATAAGCTTTTTAGGTTCCATGTTCCTACTGTAATTCTCTCTTCTGGATTTTGTTTTGGATTTTCTTTTCTGTCATGGTAACATCAGGAACTGGACATGCATACATTTTAACCTAGTCATGTTATAAATGCCATTAATACTCTGACAGTAATTTGTTGAGTTCCATCTAACCTTGGAGGCCTATCATCTGGTATTATATTGTGTATTATTTGTACTATCTAGTCAAATTATTTTCTTGAAAATAGTACAAAAGTGCTTTACCATTGTCTTTCTCCATATTGTATGAAATGGTACCTTTCCTAATGACACTAAAATAATCACATACCTCCAACAATTCCCTAAATTGTTGCTTCTCAATATAAGTTTTTGCTTGCTTTAGCTGGCATCTGAGATGACCTTTGGATCTTAAGTGACTATGCTAGGATTATATATAATTTTTCAAATTCTGCAGAAAATGCCACCACTGAGAGAGATGACTAGATCAGAAGTGACAGAGAAGAAACAGCAACCAAATACACATGGCACATACAATCACTAATCAGTGAGGAACACAGATGAACCAAAGATTTCTGCATCAGATCTTGGACAAAGCAGGAAAAAGGAAAGGAAAAAGAGATTTCCATAGAAAAGGCAGCCTTGTATAGGTTGTTGCTGAAATACAAAATCTTTGGTGCAAGTTCAGGTGAGAAAGACATTGGTTATAGAGAGAAAAACAAAGGTAATGTCTTTGTTTTTCTCTTTCTTTCCTAGCAGCAAGAAGACTAGCAAAGTTTGGAAATTAACATACCACTGCTGACAAGATAAGCAAATCTGAAGAAATAGCTGACAAATGGTAGGCAGGCAAATAAGCATTAAGGACCTGAACAAGAGGACTGGATAAATATAGTGTTCTGTTATTATTTTCTTTTGTGCTCACTTATATATACATGCAAGGATGCGGTGGCTCAGTGGCTAAGATGCTGAGCTTATCGATCAGAAAGGTTGGCAGTTTGACAGTTCAAATCCCTAGCATCATATAACAGAGATAGCTCCCATTACTTATCCTAGCTTCCGCCAACCTAGCCGTTCAAAAGCATGTAAAAATGCAAGTAGAAAAACAGGGACCACTTTGGTGGGAAGGTAACAGCGCCCCGTGCACCTTTGACATTTAGTCATACCAGCCACATGAACACAGAGTCATCTTTGGACAGCACTGACTCTTTGCCTTTGTGATGGAGATGAGCACTGCCCCCTAGAGCCAGAAATGACTAGCACATAAAGTTATATATTGCAATGCCCTACCTGTTAATGAATATTTCAGCTTCAAACATAACAATACAAGAGCACACGATAGATACAAACTCAAGATAAACCACACCAAACTTGATTGCAGGAAATATGACTTCAGCAACCGAGTGGTCAATCTGGAATACTCTACCTGACTCTGTGGTTTCTTCCCCAAACCCCCAAAACTTTAACCTTAGACTGTCTACAATTGACCTCACCCCTTTCCTAAGAGGTCTGTAGGGGGCATGCATAAGTGCACCAACGTGCCTACCGTCCCTGTCCTATTGTTTCTTTTTATTTTTCTTATATGTATCCATTTCATGTATTCATAATCATGTTTATACTTATACCTGTTATCTTATAATCACATGACAAATAAATAAATAAACAAACAAACATGTGCAAGGGGAACCTTTACCTTTATATATACATAGTAACTTCACCATTCTTTATTGCAATCTGTTGTAAATAGCACTAGATAATAACTTGATTGAATGATCTCTTGAATTGATTCCTATCTTTATCTACTCTCCAACATACCCCAATTGGGCCTTGCTGTGATAGAACATAAGCTTTAGTAGTAAAACGTTATTGAGCCATGAATATGAACTCAGCACATGCCACATGTATACATTATACTAAGACTGCACCTTCTAGCCTTTTGACTAGAATATCCAGGGTTTTCCTATTGTTTGAAAGACCACTTCTAAATATTCAAGAATTTAACTTGTTCTATTTCATGGTCATCTAACTGCCAATATCTAGTTTTGCAGTATTTTAAAAAAAAAGTGTGTGTGGGGGGGAAATCTTAGAATAATTGCTCCCTAAGGGCTCTTATCTGCACAAGAACACAAAGGTTTCTTGTCATGTCAGCTGGGGTCAGTGATATCATTGCAGAGTCATGTGTATATGCATAGATAATCACTCTTCCTCAAGTGAACCACCAACTGAATTATTTAATCATTTAATAGTAAGGGCATCGAGATACAATCATATCTGATACATCTACTCACAGGAACTTGTCTTATAAAATGGTCTTGTCTGTGCCTAACTCTTAGTTGTGAAACTTCACAGAATCTAAATAGTGAATCCTATGTTAATTCTCATAATAGTAAAAACAAAAGGCATCTGCTAATAGCACTGTTTTGTTTTTCAATTTGAATGAGAGGTGGTATTCAACCGGTTCGCACTGCTCGGGCGAACCGGTAGCGGTGATTTGGTGTGGGTCTCCGAACCGGTGGCAACCCCTAGTTGGCGATGCCCTCAACCCAGTTGCCCGGTCTCTCACTTGCCCTGGTCGCTCTCCTAGGTTTCCCTACCACATGGTGGCTGGGTGCAGCTCAGGCGGATGTCCCGCAGCTGCTGCACATGCGCACTGTGAGTGCAGCCACTAATGCAGTGTGCATGTACAGCAGCCCTGGGACATCCGCCCACCTGCCTATCCGCTTGGAGCACAATTCTCCCAGTGGATGCACTTTCTCCAGCCCGGCCTGGCCTGGCACAGCTAACCAGTAGGTGGCCACATGTCTAGCCATCCCTTTTGCAGTGCCAGAAGCCTCTCCCAACTGGCCAACTACTCTCTTCCTCCTCAGCCATATAGAACAAGCAGGCAGAGAAGGAAGGGAGTAGCTGTCCGTCTGGTTGCGCTGAAAAAGGGGTGGCTGGGACTGAAAAAAAGCCATTTCCAACCACCTCTTTCGGAGTGCTGTACCAGCAGGCTCAATGGGGTAGACCTGCGTGGCCAGTGGCTAGGATGCAGCACGGTGGCAGTGGGTTGGAGAGGCGCAGCAAAGCCTCTTGAAGAAGCCTATAGCCACTGCATGTTTTTTTCAGTGTGGAAGGAAGGAAGGTAAGGTTTCAGGCAGTCGAGAAAGCTGCCTGGCTCAGAGCTGCTGGTTGGGGGGCAAGGCTGCAGCACATGCCTCACTTGAATTTCCTAGCCCAGAGCGGGAGGGGAGGAAGGCTTTTTCAGGCAATGCAGGACAAGAGACTGGCTGGGATGATCCCTTGTAATGAGAGATTCTGCCAGGCACTTGGAAGCCTGTGTGTGTTTCAGATGGGTCTCCTTTCCTAGAGGGAAAGGAGAGAGACAGAGAGAAAGAGAGAGGGAGGGAAAGAGGGAAAGAGAGAAAGAGGGAGAGAGAAAGACAAAGAGAGAAGAGAGAGAAGAGAGAAGAAAGAAAAGAAAGAGAAAAGGGAAAGAAAGAAAGAAAAAGAGAGAGAAAGGAAGAAAAGGGATAGACAAAGAAAAATGGGATGGAAGAAAGGGAGAGAAAGAAAGAAAGTGGGAGGGAGGAGAAAATGAAAGATATATGGATGACTGGATGGATAGATACATGGAAGGAGGGAGGGAGAGAGATAAAAAAAGGAAAGGAAGGAAGGATACAAACTCTGGCTTCAGAAGACTCTTTGAAACAGCACAGCAATCTAGGGCTGGAAGAGATCTCGGAGGTAATCTTCTAGTCAAACTTGGCAAGTTTAAGACTTGTGGACTTCAACTCCCAGAATTCCTGAGCTAATATGACTGGATGAGGAATTCTGGGAGTTGAAGTCCACAAGTCTTAAAGCTGTCAAGTTTGAAGACCGCTGTTCTAGTCCAACCCCCTGCTCAGGCAGGAAAACTCTGAGGATGCCAAAATCTGACTAGAGGACCTGGGAAAGGTGTCAGAATAACAGAATAACACTTAGAATGGACCTTGGGGGGAACTCTACACCATTTCAGAGAAATAGCTGTCCAGTCTTTTGTTAAAAACTTCCAGTGTTGGAGCACCCAGAACTTCTGGTGGCAAACTGGTTAATTGTTCTCACTGTCAGGAAGTTTCTCCTTACTTTTAGGTTGCTTCTCTCTCTGTTCAGTTTCCATCCTTCTGGTGCTTTGAAAAATACATTGTTTGCCTTCTGGTGCTTTAGAAAATATATTGCCCTCCCCTTCTTTCTGGTAACTCTCCAAAAGCCTGTTGCCTATCACCCTCTTGGGCAAAGCATGTGAGCCATTTCCTCCTTTCAGTGGTCCATGAAAGTATATCTATAGTATGCAGATAATAAAGTCAAAAAAAGATGAACAACATTTTTACAGAACTATAGATATGTTGAGGCTGGGTGTGACAAGGAATGGCTGGGAGGGGAGGGGCCAGGTGAGGCATCCCTTGATGTGAGTGACATTGAGTTGGCCACACCCACCCAGTCACATCACCACCAAGCCACGCCCACCTAGTCACGTGACCCTTAGCCATGCCCACCAAATAAGCCATGCCCACAGAACCGGTAGTAAAAAAATTTGAATTCCACCACTGATTTGAACCATAGGTGATCTCTTGAAATTATTAAAAGTTGTCCTAAATTCAATAAATGCTAGGTGTTTTGCATACATTTTACTAATTATGCCTAGGGGACTGATAGAGCAAAAAGTTGCTGAAACTTCTCTCCTACTTTTTTGAAAATTGGAATAATTGTAGCTAGACCATGATCCCACGTGATCTGAATGGTGCAGATAATTGTGGTGGAAAGAAAAGCCAATTCACAACTTCAGGTATTTATCTACAACTTTGTAATAAAAAAAATCTGGAGCCATTCCAGATTTTAAATATTTTATTATAACATTTTATTATAGCTCCTTTTCACAGCTTGTAATAGAAAACTATTGAGGGAAACTATTTTTTCTATGCCCAAAACAAAGTCCAATGTTTTTTTTTTTTTAAACAAGTTTTATTGATTTTCAAAACACACAAGTCATCATTATCCATTACATGTTTAAACCTTTTTCCATTATAAATTTAACAAGTCAGATAAACTATAATTCTGTTTTAAACCATTTCCATATAAACATACCAAAAACCTCTTATCCAATTTCCCTTTATTTCTCTTTACTCTTATTCAATTTTATTATTATTATTTCATCTACTTCTTTCTGACTTAGTTACCATTGTTCTCATTCTATATTTCTACAAGGTTTTATTAATTTTCCCCCCAAAAAAAAACAACATAATCACACAACACACAAAACATAAAAAAATCTTTTTGGAAAGTAACTTGGACCCAGGTATCTCTCTTTTCATGGACTTCAATTATATTCAAGCTCATCTTACATATCATTACTTATTTTATTTACCATTCTAAGTCTTCTATATTAACTTCTCCACATATTTCACTCTTCTTAATTCTATCTTAATTAATCATCTTAATTTGAGTCATTATATTTATATCTTTTGTCCATTCTCTATTATACCTTTGTCTCATTCCTTTTAAAAAGAAAGAAATTTCTCCTGAAATCACTAATCAGAGTATGATGCCTTTCTATCTCCCCACTAAATTAATCAAATTAATCTTTAAAATACCCAATCCGATTTTGCTTGGTACATTCTAACTGAATAATACATCTAAAACAATTAAATACATAGTTAAGCAATAGATTTAAATATTAAAAACAAAATACTATAATGAAAGTTTTATAATAACATCAATACCATAATCTTAATAAACTCTTTAATTAAAGTTTAATATTCTAAATCTCCCCTCATATTATATTTTCAAACCAATCATTATTAACATTCCAACATTTTAATCTTTTATCAACTCTCAAGCCATTTAAATTTTCTATTTCTGATACAATACTACAATATCATCTTATGTACCTTGCAAAATCTCTTTGAAGAAATTATACTTATCCTTTATCCCTAAAAAAATTTCTTTTTTCTCATTTAATTTCAAAACTTTGTAGCTTTTCTCCACCTTTTCCCTTTCTTTCTTCCCCCAACAAACCTTTCTAGCCCCCCTTCTTCTAGCCTCTGCCTTACTGGCTTCCCTTCTCTGTCGCATTCCTCTTCCCTTTTGTTTACCATCCTTATATTGATTTTGCACCTTGTTTTTCCCTTTCTTAAATGTTTTTTTAAATCTTAAATCCTTTATTTCTCTTCTTTTTCCTCTTCCTTCCCTCTTGGTCGAGTTCTGAGATTTATTAAAGATGGCTTCCTCTCTTTGTTCTTCTTCTGCTGTCTTCATCTGTTGCAATGTTTGTTGATAATTAATAAGCGCCATTTCTAAAAAAAGGAAGGCTTCTTTCAAACCAGCTTTACCATTTTGTTTTGCTTGCTCATAATCTTTTCTCAGTTCCTCGATAGAAGAAGCCATTATAAATCTTTTCTTTTCTTTTCTCTTACAACAGCCAGAATATTCCAAAGGAAAAATAAGACAATCCCAAAGTTCTCAGTCAGTCCAAACCAAGACAGAGTTCCCACTCTCTCCTCCTGGGGTAGTATCAATTAGAGAAAAAGAAAGTCCAAATCTGTTTCTTAAAGTCTTATTGCAATATATTTTAGTCTTTCAATCCTTAAGGCATCTCCTCCAACAAGGTCTTAGCATACAAATATTTTTTTTTAAGTCCTTTCTTTTCCCATTCACCGCTTAGAGCCAGTTTTCACCTAACAAAAATAAGTTTCTTAATGTTCACTTTTTATTCCGTGAAAAAAGAGGGTAAGCTATCCTTTCAGCACCATTAAACTGCCGCTTTTTTCCTCTTCTCAAAGGTATCATTCAGAAAGTCATACTTTTCAGGAATTTTGTTAAATATGTCTTAGAGTCCTAGGAACCAAGAAAAACTTTCTCCTCTCAAGCACTTTCTCCACTTCCTCCTGCGCATTCTTACCCGGCTGCCAGCTTCTTTGTGGCGGCCATTACGGACCGCCGCTGCACCGTCCTGGGAAAAGGGGGTTCTGCTGGCCGGGAAGGGGGTCTGCAACACCCCCAAACCCTTCTCCGGATCCCCCCTACCTTCAGCTGCCCCTGCAGGGCAGCCTAGCTCCGTACCCATCTGGGTCGGAGCCCCAAAAACGGCTAGCGCGGCAGGGATCGCGCAGCTCCGCAAATCCCTGCCGCTCGCGAAGCCGACAAACCGGAAACTCCACAAAGTCCAATGTTGAAGCCCATGTATACAGTGCACAAAAAATAACTATAATCATGTGGAGATATGGGATGAGGAGCTTAAGTAAAGATGAATGATTTGCCAGAAAAAGATAGAGTTCTTTAATTGTAGTGTAGCTATTAAGGAGTCTCATGAATTCTCCTTCATCTTCTTTTTCCATTTCCATTCCATCTTTCCATTTTCACTCTACTATTCCTAAATGGAAAATAAAGTAGGGTTTTCTTTTTATATCTTGAAATGTTCCACAAAACTTTTCCTTGACATTTATAATCACACCAGGGCAAAACCTGGAAAAGTCCCCTTTAGAATTACTTAATTTGGTAGTGAATTTCAAAGTTCAAAAATAATGTAAAATGATCCAAGAAAGTATTGTCTGAAGCATTACCCAAGTTTTCCAGATAAATCTATTTGAATCTGACATACATACAATATTTTAGTTACTGTAAGTTCTTGTTCAGGTGTGTTTTACATACATGTCAAGAATTATCATCTGAGATAGAAATAAGGCTGTGAAACAAATTATTTGAAGAAGGCATCCGATATATTTTAAGGTATAATGGTAATATCATCAATTATTGAAAGTTCAGCAGCCAAGCAAATGTAAATAATTAGCAGGATTATGATTATATTTAACACCACACCATGGAGTTTGTCCATGTTAGACAGGGTTTGAATTGGTATTTCTATATTCTAAGACTCATAATATACTAACACAGCAGGTACGCTTCTTTATAGGAAACACATGGGCAGAAACAAAGAGAAGAACAAATTCTTCGAGCTATCCTATCCTGTATGCCATTTCTATTCTATCTTATTATGATCCTGTGTGTGTGTGTGTGTGTGTATCTGTGGATAGATGTGTGTGTGTGTGTGTGTGTGTGTGTGTGTGTGTGTGTGTGTGTTGGCAGATACCTCTATAAAACTCATTTTTCTGCTAATGTTGTCATTGAAATAGAGACAGGAAAAATTAGAATTGTACAATGTC